TTCCATCCTGTCTCAGAGACACCTGAGGGAAACAGTCACTTTGCTCCAAGATTCCTCCAGGCTCAAGAAGGTGGCCTTGAGGTGCCAAAAGGAGGGCACAGGCCTGGAACACCTCGTGGGAGAAGTAAAGTTCTCTTGCTGGTTTGGTTTAGAACCTGCAGCTCCTCCAGTGTGTTGTTACAAAACTCACATTTAAAGACTTTCAGGAATTGTGACTGTTTAGATAAATAGGAGAGTTAACTCCAGATTACAGTGTATTGCATTATTTTTTTAATGCCAAAAAATAATTGAAACTATGCTGGGATTTGCTACAAAAAAAATCAGGCACTTCAGATCCATTTTAACATGGATTTACTCAAGGCTCCTTTGTGAGCCTTAAATTAATTTTCAGTGGCTGTGAGTTTGTGATTTGGGCGTTTATAAACAGCAAAATTAAAGGCTGTATAGGACTGACATGTTTTTAACCTCTGTCCTCGATGTGTTGTGCAGAAAGTAAAACAACCAAAGGAGGTTCACACATTTCATGCTCCAGTTCACAGGAGCATTTTCTCTTCCAGGATTTATCAGTTGATGGTGACACCAGGGACGTTCTGCATCTCCTGAAGGACAACTCAGAGCATGTACTTCTAGTGCTGGAATTTATACAAACTGTAAGATTATTACAACTGAGAGAGAGACACTTCAAGGAAATAGTCAGCAGCCTAAAAGGCTCCGAGAAGGTAAAACTAAATATATTATTAGTCAATAGATTACCTTGCAGCTTTATTCAGAAAATCATGAGTAGTTTGCATTGCTGTTGTTACTGTGCAAAGGACTTTGTTCTTCAAGCATCAGAGTTTCTTGAACAAAACCAGGATCTTGGGTTTGGATCTTTCTTTCCTCTTTTTTTCATCTCTAGTTTGTGGAGGAAGCAAATCTCATAACCAGTGAAGTGAGAAAATTCAGAGAGCAGAAAATGAGAAGGCTGGAGGGACAGTTGAAAGCCTCCCTGAAAAACAGAGGAACCAGGAAGAGTATTTCAAGCAGTTTTGATCCACTGCAGGTCAGAAAAGAGCAAATCCCAAATGTTTCCTAATTGAACACTCATCATATGCACAGGACATAAGATTAATGGTCTGATGCTAATGAGGCCATGGCTGCAGCTGTCCTGTGCTAGCAAATTCACAACAAATATGGGAAGAAAAGGGTTGAAGGGAGAGATTAGGAATATAAGAGTTGAAGGGATGGGAGAAGAACACCTTCCAAAAGCGGGTTATGCACGAAAGTACAGGGGGAACAAAGAAAAAGAATTTAATGGAATTTTCTGCTTTGCAGATCAAAATCACCACCTTGGAAAGAGAAGAAACCACAGAAGAAAGGGAAGACCCGTGGCAGGCTTTCCAAGGGGAGCATCTGGACCTCAAAGGATCTCCCAGCTGGGCAACACCAGCTGAAGGAGCAAAGCTGCAGGATCAGCTGCTCCCTGGAGAGCAGAGGAGGAGGAGGAGGAGGGAGCTCTCAGAGCTGCAGCAGGACGGGGTACTGTGAGACCACACACCCTCTCCAGCTTTTGGGAGGGGATTTTTTGCTATTTTCTGATCTTGAGCCTCAAAGATCACGAGGACTGCTGCTCATCATCACAGAGGGTGAGAAACTCAGCAGCATTTTCCAGGCACTGCCTCTGACAGCTCCTCACTTTTCCTCCTAGGACTCGAGGGAAGAGCACAGTGAAGGAAAAGCTTTCTCAGGGAAGGATTTTCACCCAGATTTGCAGGAGCTGAGGATGAGATCAGGAGGAGATAGAAAAGAAAACACGCAGCAAAGCAGCAGTTCTGCATCCTCCACCCCCCAGCCCCTCAGGGCTCCAGGGACCCACCAGAAGGCAGAGGAACAGCTCCTCTGCTTCTTGGCTAAGAGTAAGTCTGGGCTGCCACAGCAATCTCAAGTAACCTGGGATATTTTTTGGCTGCTAATACATCACCTGGAGGGCATTAATGCTTTGGGAAAGGAATGATCAGGGAAGAAGTGGATGGAACTCCTAAAATAGGGAGGTTATTACCAAAATTCTGATTTAAAACCGGGCATGGGTGCTAGGACAGAAATAAAGTGTCTTACCTAGGTGATGTTTCTGCATCTGCAGAGCTGGGCTTTTTTCATCCTGAGGTCAGCAGGGCTTTAGGGGTTTTCTCAAAATATCAGCAGCTCCTTGATAAGTAGCAGAATTTCCTGTTCTTTGGACTGAAAATATTTCATTAGGATTCAGGTGAACTCTCACATGTGATCTTAATGTTTCAGGGTCTTTTCCAGCACCTTCTCTATGAAGCAAACAGCTGTTTGTTTACTCATTAGCTTAATTAAGAGGAAAAAGCAAACAGTGCAAGAGTCACCCAATTATCACAATACCAGACAAGTGTTTCCCTATGAAGCCCTTTAGAGAGATTTCAAAACACTTCTACAGCTTTAAACTTCTTACAGAATTAGGCAATTAGTTAAAAATACAACTTTTAGTCCTATCAGTTGATTTTTAAACTGATGTCTTAGGCCCAAATACTATATAGGAAAGTCAAAATTAGCTGATGGAACGAGAGGAAAGGACACAAACCCCTCTGGAATTATTTGTGGTCGTTACCTGGTGTATTCTTTCCTCACAGATATCAGGGTGCTGAAGCAGGCAGAGCACGTGATGGCCTCCAGAATCATTCTGCTGAATCCACAGTTCACAACAGCTCCTCTGGGTGGTAAAAACTTCAGTCATTTGTTTGGCTTTTGGCTCTTTTCCTGCCAATTGCCTCCTTTCCACCTGCTTAACAACAAAATACACGAGCCTCCTGTGAGACCTGCATGAGTAACTTGCCCACAGATGTGATTTAGCAATGATATAGTCCTTACAATAAACCTAAAACCAGGTTTAGAACATTTAAACAGGTAAATGTTGCTGTAATTAGCTGGAAAAAAAAGAATCCTACCAATTCTCACGAGATATGGAATTTGACAATTTAAAAGAAAGCCACTATTCACAGAATTCAGGGCAAGCAGAAATTCTTTTTTCTTATCAATAAATCTTGTGGCAAAGACAACTTTAAGAGAAATGGAGAGGAGTGTTCTGGTAAGCAGCTCAAACAAGAACTACAGGAAGGAGAAGTGTTTGGGCTGGGGGCTGTTTTTTTTTTTACTGAAATAGAACAATATTCTTCCTCATTAAACAGACTTCCCCACGACATTTAAGATACGTGAAAAAAGGAGGAAAACTAGTGAATTGGATAATTTTTGGAGAGAAAGGTACTCACATGTTTGTCCAGACTTTAACATCACACCCCAAACAGCAGAATTAGTCACCTGTTTGACCTCGTCTGTGTAACTCCAGTGTGGGAAATGTTTGCTCAGACGCCGGTGAGAGATGGACTGTTTAGGAAAGCAACATTTATTTGTTTGTTTACACAGGTGGTGACGAAACCAAGTGTGTAAAAACCTCTTTTCTCCTGGATCTGCTGAGGGAGGTGAACGAGGAGCTCCGGAGTCACGCGGTGGCAGCTGGGCTGGGGCAGAGCCAAGGGCTGGCCCGAGGTAAATCCCACCTCTGCTCTTTCTCCTGGAACAGCCAGAATTGGGGGTGAGGTGAAGATTTCATGTGTCATCCTTCAAAGAGCTGTTTGTTGTGGCCAGATTTTGCTGCACAGAAACCTGGGTTCCCTCCCGAGCTCTCCTGGTGAGGGAGAATCATAGAATTAGAGAATCCCAGAATCAGCTGGGTTGGAAGGGACCTCCCAGATCATCAAAGTCCAACCTTTGATCCAACACCACTGTGCTTCCCAGCCCATGGCACTGATGCCACATCCAGTCTCTTCTTAAACACCTCCAGGGATGGAGAATCCACCCCTTCCCTGGGCAGCCCATTCCAATGGCTGAGCACCCTCTCTGCAAAGAAATTCTTCCTAATATCCAACCTAACCCTCCCCTGGCACAGCTTCAGACTGAGCCCTCTTGCCTGGGAAAAGAGACCAACCCCCCCTGGCTCCCCCCTCCTGTCAGGGAGTTGCAGAGAGTGAGGAGGTCTCCCCTGAGCCTCCTCTTCTCCAGGCTGAGCCCCCCCAGCTCCCTCAGCCTCTCCTCCCAGCACTTGTGCTCCAGTCCCTTCCCCAGCCTCGCTGCTCTTCTCTGGCCCTGCTCCTTCAGAAAGGGCTGAACACACAGAGCCAGCCCTGACTGTGCTGCTGAGCAGCTCTGAGACACACAGGCTTCATGTCCCTTTCCTGGGCCTGAGCTATCAGAAATTCCTCCACTAAAAGTCAAGTTTTAGACATTTCCTAAGGGTATCAAGGCACTTCATGACCCTTATGATAATTCACAATGCACCAGCAGGGCCTCACTTCGCACTGAACAGTGCCTAAGATGAGAAATGCAGTATATTCTACACTTGCACTGCAGTGTTACAGCTTGGGTTCTATTTTCACCTTTTTTTTTTTTGTCCAATTAATCTGGTGAAATGCTACTTTTCTTGCAGCAGCAAGTTGGGCTCAGGGTACAGAGGATGCCTCGTGGACTCAGGGAGAGGAACCAGCAGCAGTTGATCCTGCAGCCCTCTCTGCCAGAGAGTTTGTCATTTATCAGTATGGCATCTCCATCCTACAGTTTCTCAGACTTCACATTAATGTAAGTGTTTAAAACCTTGATATTTTTAGACACTGATATTTAATAATCAACAGCGGTAATAAAAGAAACTCCTTGGTTATAAAATCAATTATACCAGTTATAAAAATCAATTAGAGAGTGACCATTGAGCCAATAACAGGAATTAAATTCCAGTCCTGTTTTCTCCACAATGGTGTAGAGATTTGAAGTCAAATCTCTTCCCCAAAAGATCTAGTCAGTTTTTATATTTGTTGTGGCACCTTTCTTAAGCACATCACTCAGGTAATGAAGAATTAATCCCTGCACATTGCATAACACTGTGATAAAACATCTTCCCTTTATATCTTGGAACAATAATTCTCTCGTTTTCTCTGCACAGTTCTTAGCACACCATGGCTTTGGTCTGGGTAAACTCTCCAGGGTCTTTCATAGGAGTCTCAAACAAATAATAAAGTTGCAGTGACCACAGCCAGAGCTCCAGGACTGGAGCACACTTCCATTTACTTAATTAAAAAACTGGCAAGAGGAAATCCTAAGGTTATTTTTTTAAACAGCCTCCATTTCCACGTGGGATTGGTTTGGCTCTGGGAACCCACTGCAAATCAAGGCTGACATTTCAATGAACCTGGAGCCCATGAATCCCTCTCCCCCTGCAGCCCTGGTGTGCTCTCAGCTCTTACAGAACCTTTCTCCTTCTCTTTGCAGGCCCCAGAAATCAGGCTGTGTGTGGCCTCCAGCCTCCCCCCCAGTGATGCCACAGGCAATGCCTTCAGGGGCTCTTTCTTTTACCAGGTTTGCCCACTCCACACCTAGTCAGCCTTCGCAATACTTTGGTATCCATTAAGTTCTGGGGCTGGGAAGTAAAATGCAAAAATAATTCCTACCTTCCCAGTCACAGCATGCTTGATGCTCTCTAGGAAAAACATTGATATAAGAAATCCTCAAGTGTTAATAAGCTCCAGATAAATCTGAACACAAACTAACAGCACTGGAGGATGCTGAGTTCAAATATATATTTAATGTGAGGGTCATACCCAAAGCCCATTTGTTAAATCAGCTCTAATTATCCAGTTTCTCGTGTCCAAGTTTTACCACTTTCATTTTGACCAAATTCTCTCTAGGTCAGCTTGACAGGAGTTAGTGTATCAGCATTTTACTCACTATAATTAGATTACAGAAAGTGACTATTTAGTGTTATTTCTTCCTATAAATGAGGTGTGCAGAGAGGAGCTTTCTCAGGTTCATGATCTATAAATATAAACCTGCCCAGGGCAGAGAATGCACAAATGCTTTAGATTCACATCATAGACCATTAAATGAAGTCTCAGGACTGCCCTGTGCATATGGATATTCCCCTGTACTGATTTGAATCCTTGGACTTACCTAAAATCGAGGCAAAGCACTGGAAGAGCTGCATCAGCAGAGCCAATTCCTGCTGTGCTTCTGTCTCAGCTCTGGATACTCATTTTTTTTTCCTCAGAATTCCAAGAACAAACTCTTCGTCCTGAGGGATTGCCTGAGCTCTGTGGGAGGTTTCCTGCTCCTCCTGGTGCACTGCTTGGCTCATGTCTCTGCTGCTGAGCTCCACCACGACACCAGCCCCCTCTTCCTGAGGCTTTTTTATCAGGTGTGTTCCAAGTGCAATTCCATTATCCTCGTGTTTGTTAAAAAAATAATCACTCTAAAAGTGAGGGCTTAATGCTTTGTGCAACTTCAGCAACGAAAGGGGAGATGAAATAAGGTTTTTATAACGAGTTAACAATTACCTGAACTGCCACTACAGCTGCACAGGGGGCTGTTCACAGCAAGATTCTTATTCAACGTTTGAAGAACTGTTCTGCCTTAGGTGAAGCCAGTGAGAAAGCAGAAAAATGCACCAAATCATGCATTAATACCCTGCCTGCACACAAACAACACCAACACCTCTGTTCCACTGACAGCTGAGGAGATAAAACCCCCACGACTGCCTTCTAACCATCACCTGGGAGAACCCAACAGAGAATTCTCACGATCACAGCCCTGCCTACAAACACAGTTACACCAAATTCATTGGGAAAAGAAAAAGGAATGGGGGGATCCTTCCCCAACACCTTGATGTGACACAGCAGGTTCTCAAAGCCTTTCAGAAAGAGTCATGTTTGGGTTTTTTTTTCCCCCCTCTCCAGGCACTGAAAGCCTGTCTCAGTGAAATGTTCTCCCTCAGACTGCAGCTCTCAGCAGCTCCCCAGGGCAGTAAATGCCAGGGGATAAGCCAGGTGTTGCTGAAGGAGGAACCCTTCTCCAAGGAGGAAGCAAACCTCATCTCCCAGCTTTACCAAGTCAAAGTGAAGAGGCCCACGGACATGGAAGGCTTTGAGAAGGTAACGAGAAAGCTCAGCACCAACATTTTCTTGCTTTGCTACAAAAACGACAATTTAACTTATTTATAGATGCCTGTGCCCATGTGCCTGCAGTTAATAAACTGGAATAGAGGACATTCACTCTGAACACACTTTTTTAAGCACTGGAACAGGCTGTGCAGAGAGGTTGTGGATCCTCCCTCCTTGGAGACACCCAAAACCCCTCAGGACACAGCCTGTAGATGACTCTGCTTAAGCAGGGGGGGGTTACAATAAATTATTTACCTTCAGGCAAATCATTAAGTCAGCATAAAAAGCATCACCATGTAAAACACATTTAAGGAGCCTATAAAAATTAAAGTTAGCAATTAACTGCTTTCTCCACTTCTGTGCTCATCCCACAGCACATGAAGAACAACCTCCTGCTCCACATGAAATCTGAGGAACCACTGCACGACAAGTGGCTTGTGGAGAAAAAAGAACATTTCCCTCATGGAAAGGACAGCTTGGGATGGTAAGAATAATTTGCCAGGAGCTGTTATTTACTATTTATATTTACTATTTATTATTTCGCCACCTTGTACAGTGACATTTGCTTTTCTGTTTTGCTCCCGTGAAGAGCCTGTGATTAAAGTTTCACAACTGGCATTTCTCCCCTCTCATTTTAAGCACTTCTTTCTATGTTTTTTTTAGCTTTGAAGAGGAAACCTGCACTTCCTTGTCCCCTTCGGAACTTGAGGATAAAGTGGACGTGTTAACTGAGGAGCTGGTGCAGATCATAGAGGATGAACACCAGTTTCTAAGCAGCAAAGGCAACGAAGACCTGCTTTGTTACTACCTTGAAATCACTAGTTTGGAGAAGGACTGTCTGGTAAAACAAATCAATGCATTAGAGGAGGAAATAGCCCTGGGCAGAAAGTTGTAGTGGCACTCAAAGACTTGGTGGTTTTGTTCTACCTTGGGTCTCTGCTTTGGCTATCAGGCTTTAAGCCAAAGTAAACCCTCTATTTTTGTTTTATCTGTGGTGTATTTTTCCTCTCCATACTAAAGGCTCATTAAATCAGGAGTGGAAGCAGTGCAGTGGTTTGAGTGACAAGACTTTGGCCCCCACCACTGACATTTCTGGCCACGGCCAAGCAGCAAAAAGAAATATTGCTGCAAAAGCCCAGACTCAGAGTTTCCAGGAATAGAAGCAAAATACAGAATCACTCAGTTCTGCTCAGTGTCAAATGCATTATTTTTTAAACTGGTGGATCAATCTACAACATGTTGTGAAGTTCAGCTGAATAGTTACACTTTTCTGACTTTATGACACAGCAAAAGCTATAGATATAATTACCCCAAGTGACTGTATCTACACAATTACACACCAAGAGCAAGAAATATTATTTTCCACCACTGAAAACAACTTGCCCAGCCCAGACAACCTTTACTTGTCCTGGAGTCACCATATCTCAGCTCTCTCCCATACAGGAAGGCAGGTCCTGCACTGTCCAAGCCCAGCTCTGCTCTTAGGCTTGGGGAGACAGTCTCTCCTCCTCCCAAATTCAAGAGTCAAACCCTGAAACACATGAAACATTCAGTATTTGCTGATCAGTGAAGCATCACCACAGCCTCTGGTGCAGGTGAAAAAGCAAGTGAGGGAAGAGCAGAGTCACTCAAGATCCTTCCTTCCCTCACCAGCACAGGGCAATTCAATAATTTCATGAGTCACTAAACACCCTCAACATTTCTGCTGGTGATATTTAGATCTCTGCTCACAACCCAGCTGTCCTTGCTGCCCCTGCCAGAAGGAAGCAAACTGTCCTTCAAAGCAACTTAGGGGCATGTTTTTTTTTTTTTCTTCCTTGACTTGCTTGTGTTTCCACCAAAAAGGTTTTAAACTCCCTTCAGGGCACCAGTAGCAGATCAGATAGCTTTTATAAAAAAATCATAAAATAGTTTATTGATATTTGCATTTTTTTTTTTTCAACTCACAAAAGGAGTCTCAAAACAATTTTTCAGTCTTCCATTAGCATTAATATAAACATTTAAAACCTCAGATAAAACCACAGGAAAAAAAGAGCAAAAAAACAGCTTCAGACACACAGAGCAAGAGAGGCAGGGATTAGAGACAGCGAGTGCTTTGTGTTTTGACCAAGTTTTGCAGTGCCAGCCCTTCATCCCATTCCACAGTCAGTGCTCCTAAAACAGCCCAAAGCGGGCACAGCCACGGATCTACCGCTTGGTGTTGACCCAGTGGTACCTGTCCACATGTGGCCCTGAGAAGGCAGCTGAGGGCCTGGAGACCTTGTAACCCCTGTGCTGGCCATGGTAGGAGCCATCAGCCAGGTAGGTCTTCCTGGGGAGATACAGGGACCAGGGCTGCGTGGGAGCCTTGTAGTAGTCGCTGAACTGAACAGCAAGAAACGGGATCGTGTTAAAAGTGTGTTTGGGGAAGAGGGGGAACTGTCTCTTGCATTCCCTCGTGAGGAAGCCTAAGGAGCAGCTCCCAGCTCCTACAAAAAGCTCTATCCCATTCCCAGAATCACTTAGGTTGGGAAAAAACCCTCCAAGATATCAAAGTCCAACCATCCCCCCAGTACTTCCAAGCCCACCACATCTACACATCTCAAATCCCTCCCAGTCACAACATCACCACCACCCCGGGCAGCCTGTGGGAAAGAGGCTTCCCCAATATCCAACCTAAACCTTCCCCAGAGCAACTCAAGGCTGTCTCCTCTTGCTCTGTTGGTTGTTACCTCCACAGAACCTCCTCTGGAGAGCAAGAAGGTCCCCCCAAGCCTCCTTTTCTCCGGGCTGAGCCCTCCCTGAGCCAGAGCAGCAACATCATCCTGTGCCCACTCACCTGGTACACACTGTTGGGGTTGCTGACAGTAGGGATGGCTCTGGGCTCCCTGAGGAAGCTCTCCTCATCCGAGGAGCTGCCAGAGTGACAGTCCAGGGCTGCCCTCTCCACGGCATAGTTGATGAGCTGCGGCAGCTCGGGGTTCTCCTTCCCGTCGAAGCGCACGATGGTGAAGGGCTCGTTCTTCTCCCCGTACCTGGAAGGGACTGGAGGTGTGTGGTGCTGCTCTGCACAAGCAGGGACAGCTCTGAAGGGGCCAGCTGGCACCAGCAGGTGAGCAGGCCCTCAGATGTCAAGGCTCTGAACAGGCTCGAGTTGATGACCCTTGCCCAGAGCACCCGACGTGCATCGGCCACCCCTTCTGAGCTCACCTGCAGCTGACCTCAAAGGGGTCAACCCACACTGTCATCTCCTTGGGCAAACCCAGCTCGTTGAAGTCCACACCACTCTCCACACAGGCTTGCTCCAGCAGGGGCTCTCTGGCCTGGTGTTTGTTTATCCTGATGCACCTGGGTAAGAGCAAAGGGCAGGAGGATCTTGGCAAGCCCTGCTGCTACAGGAGCACACTCAAAATCACTGCTGGTCTTCCCAACACACGGATCTCAGGCTGCACTGCAGCTTGGCAAGCCCTGCTGCTACAGGAGCACACTCAAAAATCACTGTTTGCTTTCCCAACACGTTCAGCCTGGTGATGCAGGTTCTCCCTCAGAGCCCCAACCAGCAGCTCAGCCTAAGGAGCTGATTTATGAACTCGATCAAGGCTTTGTTTTAAGCCCATAAAGCACTGACTCACTTCATCGGTAGTTTATGAGAATTAAAGGCAGTTAGAACAATTCCAAAAGGCAAAAAGCATTTGAGTTCTGCTTCCAAGGAGTCAGAGGCTGCTTAAGGCACTTAGTGCATATTGTCCTGAGACTTCCACCTCAGTCTCCAGTCACACACTGAAAAACAGTTGCACCTCCACCAGTTAATAACTCTTTTTCCCTTGAGCTTAAGGGATAACCAAGGGGTTCCCTTGCAGTTTTGTATCATTTATTTCCAATTTAAGGCCTCCAGGGTACTCAGGACCCCTTGAACATCACACAAAGCCTCCATTCCCTCTCCTGTTCCATTGAGTGTCCTCTCACCTGAAGGCTTGTCCTCGGGATGGGTTGTCCACGTACCAGTGATTCTTGTACTTCTCAAACAGGATGGCAGTCAGGCTGGCTGCAAATTTCTCTATTTTTTGCTTGCTCAGCTTATCTTCCCTTTTCACCAGCTTTGTGATGAAGAAGACCGTGGCAGCAATTTCATCTTTCATCTTAAATTGCAGCACACAAGGTGCTTCAGCTGTTGGACAGTCAGCAGTACAGATGAGACACTACAGTAGAGAGATTTAATAACATTAAGGTACTATCACGTTCCAAGAATAGATGCTGCAAAACCTGCACAAGCCAGGGCAGATAGAGCCTAGATAAGTCTGAGTGCCAAATGAAGGATAAATTTAGTTTTGGGTATTGAAACCAATTCAATGCATTACTAGAAGGCACTTGCACAAAGCAAGTTAACAGCCTATATAAAATATGAGTTTAAAATATAGTGCTACTTATTATATATCACATATAGGCAACAACCAGCAGGGCTTATAATTAATTACACAGCTATTAAATACAAAGAAGACCAAAAGCATCACCTTTTCAGAGCAGAGCAGGCAAAAACCCAGGATACACTTTATAAACAGCTTCAAAGAGGCTCCAAGAAAACACCTAAAACACTATAAAAACTATTTGCACAGAAAGGAAAAGCCCCTCAGCTCCCCAGATCCTCCCTTTCTCTGGTGGAGTTTGCTCAGGCTTTATATAGGACAGGCAGTTGGGATGTAACAACACTCAGGTGTGCAGGAGGTTCAGGTGTGTGGCAGGGCATTAACTAACACTGCTTTCAAAGGCATTTCAGTCTGCTTGGCTTTATTCCAAAACCAGCTCCTGGTTTTTAGGGTTTATTTAGAGTATATTCAGTTGACTTGTCCCTCAGTCTGCCTTATAAATACCTGTGAAATATTGAAGTGAAATATTCACCGGGAGAAAAACAGTGCCAGGTTTATTAATTGATTATTAAAATTGTGCTTGGCTGCTTCTGGCAGATTTAACTGCTTTCTATGTGAAACCCTCACATTTGGTATTGTTGATTTTGAAAACTGCATCATTCTGCATTTATCATGTCATCCATCTTCCTAATGATCTAATTATTATATTATCATATTAATGATCATATTATTCTATTATATATTATATATTATATATTATATATTATATATTATATATGATATGATATATGATATATGATATATATGATATATGATATATTATATATTATATATTATTATTATTTTATATATATTATATATATTATTATAAGAAACATATTATAGATGTATTTAGTTTTTGAGTTGTTTCATGCTCTGTTTAAGAGCAGTTCCTCAAATGTGAGAGTTTAAAACTTCAGGCAGTGTGACTAAGAGCTGATGTTCCCTTTCCCTTCTGCTGCCTCAGGAAGTTGTGTCTGCAGTGTCAGAGACCAGGAACTGCCCAGACAAAAGAACAAACGAAGGCAAAAAGAGCTGAGTGGTTCAACTGGCTCCTGCTGGGGCTGCAGATGCTGTTGCAGGGCTCCCATTTCAGCCCTGGAGCAGATTGTGCTCCAAGACAAGGGAGGAGAAACACGGGCTGTGAAGGCACAAGTTGGCAGGAGGAGCCAGCTTTGCAGAAATGTGCCTCAAAACACGAATTTCGGGCTATTTCTGGGTTTCCTCTCTCTCCACGCACACAGTTCCTTGCTCTACAGTTTCTTTCTGCATCCCTCCAAAAAAAGACTCACTGAGGATTTTAGTAGAAACTCTGGTTTTAAGGAACGAGTAATAAAACACCAATATATAATAAAATTTTATAGTATATATAGTATAACTATAGTATAAATATGGTATAAATAGTATAAATAAATATAATAGTATAAATAAAACTAATATAATAATATAGAAAACCAATATAATAATATAGAAATACACATATATTACATGTACATATTACATGGACATATACATATATGTACATATTATATATACATATACATATATATTATATATACATAAATATACACATTATATATACATATATAATATACACATTATATATATACATATATATTATATATGTATATA